AGAGAGAGAGAGAGAGAGAGAGAGAGAGAGAGAGAGAGAGAGAGAGAGAGAGAGAGAGAGAGAGAGGGGTGGTGGGTGGTGTTCCAGGGAGAAGGATTCACTAAACAGGAAGATTATGTCAAGAACAGAACACAGAGGAGTCAGAGGGTCCCGCACAAACACACACGTCGACTGGCGAAACACGTACTTTGCTGTAGATTCTTCATCATACTTTGTCTTCAAATCAAAGAGCTCAGCCTGAGTTGTTTCAAGTGCTGAAAAAAAGATGGAGAAAAAAAAGAAGTCAGTTCATCTGCTTGAAGTCAGCTTCCGAACAAAGACTTGGGCTCACATTCGACAAGAAACTTTCTGATCAATCCAAATTTTGGATTATTTCACAGAAATGAATTCTAAAGTTAGCCCTTTGTCTGTTATTATTTCTCCTCCTACGGGTTTAAAAGAACGCTTACGCTACCAAACTATTAACCTCATCAACCACACTCCCCGACTCCAGATGAAACAGATTACACCTAATCGTTTGTTTTCTTTTTACAGGTCTGAACATTTAACTGAGAAATCTTACAAACCTGAAGTGTTTCATTGCATTTATCGCTAACCCCACCTCTGTTTTTCGGTAATAAGCACATTTGTTTGGAATTTGACTGGACTGGATCGGCTGGTACCTGTCTGAAGGGACTGGACCTTGGTTTCAGCCTCTTTCAACCTCGAGGACATAGAGTCCTGGCTTTCCTGGAGTTTCCTAAAGAGGTGAGAAAAGAGAGAGAGAGAGAGAGAGAGAGGAAAAAAAGAGAACAGGAAGCAGAAAGTCACAGTTAAAGAGATAGTGACTCTGTTAGTCTTTGGGTTCACACTTCGTGGCAACTTTTCTCAGTTTTTCCCACCATTTCTGACGAGTTTTCCCCCCACTAAAATCCTCCCCAACGCAACCCACTCCTCATTAAGCAGCCCTATTAGGCAGGAATGTCTGGCCACTGGGGCAAGCTGCACCCAGGGGTGGGTGGAGGGGAGGGCAGGGGGCTGAGTCAGAGAAGAGGAGGGGGGCAGACAGAAAACCACACGGATAAAATAGATTCATTCTTAGCACATAAAAAGTTGGGCTCCGCTGAGAAATTGCTGCTGTGTGTAAAAACATCAATAATCTAGCACAAATACCATCTTTATGACACCCTTTGATGCCCCCCCTCCCTTCTCCGCCAATCTGTCTCTCCTGTCATCTCTATTTTTCTGCCCTCTACTTCATCCTTTCATCTCAGTCTCCCCCTCTCTCTCCTTCCCTCACTCCTTGCTGGAAAAAAAATGCATCAGGAGGTGCCATCCATTTACTACCCCTCTCAGACACAGGAAGTTAGCTCTCAGCAGACAGGAAGAGGCCTATAAAACTCTGACGTACAGGAAACACAGTTGGACAATTGATCCTCGACCGAAAATCTAAAACGCTTTAATTCACCTTCTGGAAGTAAACAAAATAACTTAAAAAGGCTAAATCTAAGGTTGGTAATGTTCTGTTTAATAATCCAAAATCTTATACAAAAGATTTTTCTTAATAAAACCACTATAAGAACTTTTTTTCCCTCCATATTCTGGTCAAGTATCAAGTTTTAATCAGTATAACAAAAACAACCAAATTAACACTTGATTTCAGATTTCATACTGTTATAGTGATGACTTTTTCTTGTGTACCAAGTCTATTCAGTTATTTCTGTTAGAAATCACAAACGTTTATTTTATAACTTCAAAGCTGGAGAATATAGTTGGTGTCTGAGGTAATACAGGCTTACAGATATCATGAGCTGGTTTCTATCACGCCAGGATCAAATAACAAGCCAGGGAAGAAAAGAACCCCGCATCAGATGTTGGCTGAGATAATATGGCTGCCCACATCTCGTGCAATTAGCTTAATTGTTTTTATGTTACCCGGGGCCCCTTCCTGGGGAGGGACACTTGAAGAGCATTTTTGGGCTTGATAGGAGTGATTATGCCATTTCAGCAATCAGATCAATTGCTCAACATTTGCTCAACATGCAGTGGCACTGTTGAGCTATTTATTACAGCTACAGGTTTCTCGTGGAGCCTCCTGTTAGTAAAGTAGAAAATTCAAGGTACCTTCTTGTTTTAACATTTTAGATTTCTCTTTCAATATCCCTGCCACTTTTAACATCACAGTACAAACATTGGAAATATTTATGACATAAATTTGAATCTACACCAGTTACCAAGTAACATTTTTATTTCTAGAAAATACAAACAAATTCTTAACTGTTTCATACTTCTTTAGGCTCCGTAGGAACCCTGGTTATTACAGTGGGGAGAACAAGTATTTGATACACTGTTGATTTTTCAGGTTTTCCCACTTGCAAAGCTTGTAGAAGACTGTAATTTTTATCATAGGTACTCTTCAACT